GTCCGCGAGGGCGCACGTACTAGATGACGCCTTTTTTGCTGCGGACTCGAGGCGTGTCAGGATGCAAGACTTGGCGCGGCGCCAGCCGTCTCCATTAATAGCTGTCGCTTGCCTCGCTTCAACAATTGGTGGAAAACTGGCACACGTCGGGCCAGACCCGGCCACTCCTACATGCCCCAGCATCTGCGGCAGGCAAGATGCTCTTTTCTCTTTTGTGCGAAATTGGGCCCAGATGGATAAACCAGCACCTTCTGCGAGCCTGTTGGAACCAGGCCAAACATTTCGCTGATCGATTTTTGGGATTTCTAGGGTTCCAAGGCTACCTGTGAAAACACGACAAACAACTGGTCCATACTTGTCAACGGAACATGTGCGAACATGGTTTCAGTGTTCTGCCAGGTGTTACTTGTTTCAACACGCGAGGTCTTGGCAAGAGCACTTACAGTAGATTCCTACAAAATTATCAAAACCATTGAAATTCAATAAATTTCAATTCCCGCTGGTCGAAACAACGATGCAACTCATAGAACCATGTGAAGGTCCTAGTGGGAAAAAGGCACAATTTGCTAGATTTGTCACAGAGTTATTAAGAAGGCCAGGGTTGCCTCTCATGCAAAATCCACGCCAAATTAGGACATCAAAATGAAAATGACCACAACATGCGAAGGAAAAGCTCAAGAAACGATCTATTGAGGTCCAGAGATGAAGGAGAAAGCTTGAGAAAACTGCACTTCAACCGATTTCTCCAGAAGATTCTCTTCCAACAGTTCCTAATCTTACAATCTTCCCTTATCCTGGGGGCGCAGCGTGGAGACCTCAACCAGTATAAAAGGCGGGAAACTGAGAAGTAGGGTTCAGTTTCGCCTTCACCCTACCACCGACATGTCCACTGACGTAGCTGCTGGCCCATCGACTATCCCAAGGATTGCACGCCCGAAGTTGCATCCACCCTATTCGGAGATGGTACACAAGGCAATCGCCGAGTTGAAGGATAGGTCCGGATCGTCCAAGGCTGCCATCCTCCGCTACCTTGTCCAGAATTACCAGCTTGGAGACAACGTCAACAAGGTTAGTTCAGTTTCTTCCGTTTAGGGCGCAGGACTATAGAGCAGTGGGCAAGGACAGAGTGCCCACCTCTGACTGGAATGTCTGAGCGCTATCGGCAGGCGACTGTCTTTTTCTGGCCTCGAGAGGGTAGGAACAGCTGGGAATGCGGGTCGTGGGGTTCAGCGAGAAGTTCCACGTGTAGTCGGGTGCCGGGATACTTGGGTTGAGATTTACCACCTAGGAGATTAGTGTTGAAGAGAGCGTGCGTAACTCCTGGGAATGTTCTGGAAATGATGGCGGGAATGTGACTGGGAGAGAGACCAGGGTGCGCCTATTGCCTGCTCGTCTGCGCACTCCACATTAGAGATTGACCATGGGAGGCAGGGGTCGCAGCCTAGTCTCGCTATTGACTGCCTCTCCCTGCTCGCAGGCCCTTGTCACCAGAGTTGCTTGGCTGCAGAAGGATAAAGCAACCGCTCCGTTGTCTTTCGCCCGAAGGAATGGATATTGGTTGGTCGCGCGCTGATACTACTTCTGCATTTGCACAACCGGCCCGGTACAGTAAGCGCGGTCGCATAAGAACGATGTTGGCGGCCGTGTCTGGCCCTGGTCCCCCAACGAGATCGCAAACTGTGCACGCTGGCTGGACTTGTCCTGATCCGTAGACAGCTGTGCGTAGCGCGTCGCGTTGTGGCGCTGCAGTCGCGCATATAGGACCCCCCTCGGTATGAGAGATCGCACATACACAACCCAACCTGCCCTGTGAACAGTGAGCTTAGGAATGATTATTGATATCAAAGTGATCAATATCCATTCTTTATGAGTTGGCTGTGGGCGGTCTTAAGAGTACAAGAAGTTTCTACGATACAAAGGACACTCATGCTTAGTTATTTCAGATTAATACTAATATTCGCTTGGCGCTCAAGAAGGGTGTCGAGAAAGGAGAGCTGAAACAGGTCACCGGTACTGGAGCCACGGGAAGCTTCAAACTTGGAGAGAAGAAGGCTGCCGCTCCGAAAGTCAAGAAGGTTGGTAAGCTTTAGGAGAACGGCTGTGCAGTTCTTTCTCTCCCAGAATCTTTCTGAAGTCTTCCATTTCAGCCTGTTGCAAAGAGGGCCGATAAGGAAGCAGCTCCGGCAGCGGTGAAGAAGGAGAAGGCCGCGGCACCAAAGAAGAAGGTTGAAAAGAAGGTGGAGAAGGCTGAGAAGGCTCCAAAAGAGAAGAAAGCCCCAGCAAAGGCTTCAGCTGCTCCAGCTGCTCCTGCTGCCACTGCTCCAAGGTCCACTCAAAAGGAAAAGGAAGCCCCTGCTGCTCCTGCCCCCAAAAAGTCAAAGTCAAAAAGCGTCAAAAGCACTAAGAAGACCTCTACCGCAAAGTCTAATTAGATTTTATTGGTTGAAATTTCGATTGGCACTGATGTAGTAAAGATAGT